CAATAGAATGCTATATTTAAAAAAAGATACTTTTCAGATAAGTATGTGCTAGTTAATTTTGCTGTTAGATCGAATAAGAAATGTGCAACGCGATCTCGAAATATTTGAGAAGTTTGTCGCGTAATAGTATTGTGCAGTAATATTGTGCGGTTAGGGTGTATTTTCAATAAACCACTCTACACTATGGTATCTCTATCATTGAATTGATTAATACGTCGACTGCCCGCGCAAATTGCCATTCTTCTCTAATCAGATACATTCAATTACACGTGGCAGGTGACGTATCAACTTGCGCTCTTCGTTTACTAAAATTCGTCTTTTACAATAACGTGAAAGTTAATTCGATTTTTTGATTAGATATTTCCTTCTTTATAAATTTTTCGAGATAAATCTGATCCGAGGCCTATATTGCTGATTTTTTACTTCTAGAAATCAAAACAGATAAATAGTCGCAGATGCGAAACATGATTTTATAATGAAACAAATAATATATTCCACTATTTGCGTCATAATATAAAACACAGAAATTGTAAATCAAAACGAAAATACGATTATCTTTAAAACAATGATAGATTAATAATACTCTTTGTTCTATTATATACAACAGTCTATAAGCCTCTTCGTCCTAACTATACTAATAACTAACTATAAAACTTCGAATGTTCAAATGTTCAAACTCGCCGCTTTAGATCCAAAATATTCCTTAACTAAAGTCTTAGATTAACTTTCTCTTCATACTCTTCTTTTTCGTTCCTCATAATTCTTCTCTTATATTGTTTTTCAACAAAATTTATCAACATTTTCAGAATTGATCATATCTTTTCTAGAAAATATATTCTTTACTCTAAGCCATTTTTATATAGATGATGCTACCAGACTTTAGGAACTTTTCATTCTTTATTTATTATTCTATTTTGAATATTTCGAAAAAAAGGATCTGCATCGAATTGACATGCGTAGAAAACACATGTGCAATAATTTTATTTCCTTTTTCTGAGTTTGGTAACACAGATCTAGTCAAGCAGAAAGTGCGTCATGTATAATTGATTTAATTGTTATACATTATTGATTTAACTGTCATACATTACAACGTAAAATATTCCTTCGACATTCTATTAGTAGTATAAATATAAAACTTTCACTGACTTCAAAAAGGTACCTTATCGATTCGAAGTTTCCAAGTATTTTTCTATTGCATCTATCTTACGCTCTATAAACTCTCACTGACTTCGCAACAATAAATCGTACTTGGACGCAACGAACTGCGATATAAGGAACAATGAGATCTCTTAAGCAGCTTATACTTGCATATATTCTTGATAACATGCGTATCGAATAAAACTGAGATCGTTACGTAAAATATAACAGTATATCTCGCGAGTATTGTTCATTCCTTTACAAACTAACTAACATTCGAAGAATATTACAGATCGTATTTGAATTCACAAATTTCCGAGTTGGAATGTACATATCGCCTAAAATAAAATAGGCCTCTATTTTACATTCGTATTTATCACACTCGTGACGATCCCTCGAGGTTGTCCATATCGCGACTTCTCATAATTAATAAATCTAATTGTGAAGCATCTAAATAATTATATATATAATATTTAATAATACTAATTTTATATATATATATAATTATTTGTATTTTGTATCTTTAACGCTCCTCTCTTATTATTGAATATTATATAGTAAAAATTTATTTCTAACAGCGAAATTAAATCAAAATATAATTGCATTGAAAGAAATCACAATTTCTTTCATGAAAAGAACTTTTGTTCCAAAATAGAAGGCGGACATTATAATAAGCTGAAAAAGCTTATTATTTCTTGAGGTTAATACATCACTTATTTAAGAGGCCAAGCATCTTTTTTCATGAATAAAATAATTTTATAAATGTACAGTTCGTTTTTTACACGAAGTGACTGGATTTCACGATGACACATGAGTTGAAGAATAAATCGTAAATCGGAAGAAAAATTCAAGGGAAATAACTTTCGATTGTGTGAGATGTATTATGAATTAATACCTTGTTTTCTCTTTAGGTAATCGCCGTTCTCTAAAATACTTCGTTTGTTGATAGTGCCGTTGAAGATGTACAATCAGGTCGCTTTATGCGAAATATCATTTATTAGAGAACGTTACGATTACGCGTGTAAGAGGACGTACTGAAATTCAATTTACAATTTATTCGGTGGATCTGTTAGCGTCTGAGAAACACCGCTTTACTTCTGCTATAAATACGCGGTGTGTTTGCTGCTGTGCTCAAGAGCGGCAAGAACGTCCTGCTTTTGCCTGACGTACAGCCGTCCCTTCTTCCACGGATTCTGCAATTGAAGCGGCTTGAAATCGTCCCTCAAGCACCGCTCTCGCGCGCCGATCACGGCAACTAGACAGAAGTTTGGTAGCTCGTCGGCCGTGTAAGTAGGCCCCTTTTGTCCTTTTAGGACCACTGCCATGTTCAGTTGTTTGACAACAAGGTCCACCACTTCCCGAGCCGTGGTCCTTGGTGTTACGTGCAGCTTCAAACTGGTACCAGCTGCCAAACCAGTCTCATAGGCCGCGTAAACCTGCAACGACATCGAAAGATGTATCCCTCATATTTGCAAATGGTACATAAATCACGTGATAGAAAAAAATCAATTTAGCGCAAAATGCAGCAGTCTCGAATAAGGAATAAGTGTATCTATAAATGCGTACATAATTTGAGTTAATAAAATTATACCACTGAAATCGCATAGATATATTATGTCGAGGTGTAAGCTTATGTAATATACATGTGTAATATACATGGTGTGTCTGAAAGATTTTAAGTGACTCAGTGAATAAACGGTATAATACGCAACATTATAAATTTTTGTAAACTTCCATTTTGATTATTCACGAAAGAACAATCATTTCAAAGTTAATTAAATATTTTCTTTATTAATATTTATATTAATATCCTCTTGTGATTCACAAGAGGGTGAATTTTGTCACTCAACTTCCTAATCTTATAGACACACTTTGTGTTTTAGACGAACACTAAAAAAATGCGATATATATTCAAGCCGTAAAAATACATGTATATTATATACAGCACGATATATACTGCACATAAAAATCATGTATATTAAGAATTATTAATTATTTATACTTCTATGCAATACCCTTTATACGACGTCATACTATTGTAACACATACAGATATAATTTGTCTTCAAAATAGTACAATACAATAATAGTACTATTACAAAATGTAAAACGATCATAGTAAACCTTTCATGCCGTACTGATTTTGACACATTAAGCATAATATTTAAGCATAACCGAGCAGAGCAAGCGTTGAAATTTAGCGGTGTTGACGGCTTACTCAATATATCCGCTACATTCGGTTTGCACGAGAGGACCAAGTGAGCTGTTTTTAATTATAATCGGGTTAGACTTGTGTTCCCTAGGAAGGAAAAATATCATTTAAAGACTGCGTATCGCGAATCCAGGGGGATTTTAATGTTGCTGAAAATTAAACGTCTCGAAACGTCACGTCTAGTGTAGCAAATACATTACGACGAGCATCGCAATATCATCAAAATTCAAGGTCATACCTGAAGAATGCCTGGCAGGGGTGCCGGCATCATCGTCGCCTCGTCCTTCTCCTCGTTATCCAGATTATCCGGCGGAACGGTGGCCATCGCCGCGACGCTCGCGGTCGGCTTGGACGTCTTGATTTTGATCGGCTGGCCGGCTTTCAAGCAGACGCTTGAATTCGTCGCGGAGTACTCATCGCTGCTCAACGAGTGCAGACTATCGGAATTCGTGTTACTCACGCTCAGCAGACTCGTAGTGTTTGTCATCGCCGTGGAGACACTCAGCAACGAACCGCCGTACATGATGGGCTTGATGCTCAACAACGGACTGGTGGTGGCCGACGTCGATGTTATCGTGGCAGAACGATTTCGCGGGCTGTGTTTGTACTTGGTGAGGATCAAGGTGTCCTCGGACTTGGAGGGCGGTAACCTCGTGTTCTGTAGCGGTAATAAATGATTGGCGCTGCTGGTGGTTGTCAAATTGCTCAGATTGCTGTTGCTGCTTATCGGCGCGCATGATGATTTCGGCGGCTCCGAGGTCGTCGATGCGTTTGAGGTATTGCTGCCCTTGCGAACATATTGCCCACTGGGCAATTGTTGCTCGCTCTTGCTGAATTCCGTCGTGAGAAGGTTGGAGGACGATTTCGACAGATTGGGACCTGGCCAGCTGCCACGGCCGGGGCTCGACTTCACGAGCTTAGGATCTCTCGGTGGCAATTGTAACAAACTTCGTTTCAAACTGTTACTGTTGCTGTTTTTGTTTCTATCCAGACTGAGCAAGTGTTTCATAGATATGCCAACGGTTTGCGACGCGATCTGCGAAAACGTATTGTACATTTTGATTAATAACAAATGATAAAATATATTAAGATAAAAAATTAAGTAAGATTATCTAATAAGATATGTTACAGCGAGTATTACGTAATAATTACGTTTTGTTGGGAAGAGCCGCGATCTCTCGCGAAAGTTATAACGTCAATCAACCATCTGGCACCTTTCCACACGGTGTTCACTTGCGTCTGAAGATCCTGCAGTCTCGCAAGTTTATCCTTCGCAATGCTCAATTCCAAGGAACTGAAGGCTTCTCTGTGATTATGCTGTGCCTGCGCGGTGTCCAGTTCCAAGATGCAGCTGAGTCTCGAGTAACGATTGATTACATCTTTTTGATACGTGTTCAGGTGCACCATCTCGAAGACTTGAATGGGCAACGATAGGAGATCACCGCGTTGTAGCAGAATTTCTCGCGTGCCAGGCACGCAACAAGCGGTTTCGGCGGGCGGTACGGCGATCAGGAACGACACGTCGTGAGTCAGATCGATCACCTCGGCGTCGTATAGCCGATGCCCCAACGAATCCTCCGGATTGATTTCCATATAATTGAACAGTCGTCGCGCTGTCGCGGCGACCAAATCGACAAACAGCTTCTGCTGTTCCGTCCCTTGCGCCTCGTTTGTCACGTTCTCCTTCTCCTCGGATTCCTTCACGGAAGATTCGGATGTGCAGATGCGCGTTACCCTCTTGAGGTAGTCCCACTCCTCCCTTGAAAGACGAAAGCGAAAGTACGATAATACATATCGATAGACAATCCTCAAACAGAATTATGATATTTCGTGCTTCAATGAATACATATACTTACGCAGACACGTGCGGATTATCGCGGATCTTGCAATGTGGCAATACATTCGGCGATTTCGTTGGAACAACAACCTGTATGAGGTCCACGCTGCTTTGCATTTTCAGATAACCGAGATATAAACCCTTAGATAGTTTAATACTGCTGACTTGGTGATATGTCATTTGCTCTTGTATGCTGGCCATCAGGATATCAGAGACGTTACTGTCTTCGTGCGTTATGACCTTTTTTATGACTTTACTGAGCGGCAACCATCTGCTGTTTAATACAGATACCAATTTCGGTGACTTTATGTAATTCACTGTCGAGAACACTAAAGTGCCTTGGATGTCTCTGATAGGTTTATGATACAATTGTCCAAGGTCTTGTATGCACAGCGCAGCCTGTAAAAAATATATCGAATATATCAACATTTCTACATTTTTGACATTTTATATTTTGATTAAATAATTGAGCAAAGTAAAAGTTCAACGTTTCTAATATGTAATATGCAACGGACCTGCATTTGGGCAGCTGCTTGAAGTAATTTTATCCTAAAATGATTAGTCGAGCTGCTGTGACTCTTTTCCATGTCCTGCCGAAGGGATTTAACGTCGTCCCACGTACAGGCGACTTTCATGAGCCAATGAAAATCGTTGTAGATACAGCTGGGATACGTCTCGTCTATCTCAATTACGGGTAAAAAATCTTCATTTGTAACGAGAACCTTGTCCTCGTGATAGAGTAGACACGCCAGAAATACTCCTCGCCTGAGATTCTTCTGAAATTTACTCGTCGCTGTGAAGAGCTGTTTTATCGTTGTTTTCTTCTTGTGATTTCGCCTCTGCACCGCCGGCGTTTCTTGCGTGTACTCCGGCCGCCTTATGTCGGTGAACAAAGTGTTCAACTGTTCCAACCGCCCCGCGAATCTCGGCACTCTGCCATCTATATCTCTCCAACCTGCAAGACATTGTAAATATTTGTAAAATTAAAAATTGTTCAAACACAGCGATGAATGTAACTGATAAATGTAATAGTACAGTGTCGCGTCGTAATAATAACCCATGTTCATCCTACTTACTGCTAGGTGTAACGTGTGCGGGTGATGAGTTCCTGAACCTGCTGTAACCCTTCAGATTTCCGGCTGCGGCGCGAAAGTGATACCTTTGACCTTGCGTTAAGCTTTCGATGCGACATTCCCTCTGCTTCATGTCCAGAACCTCTCTCTCGCCGCAAACGACCGAAAAGTCATCGTGCAAGCTCCATTGAACCTTGAACTTGGTACAGATCGGAGAGTCGTGCGAGTCCGGTTCTTGGAACCTGACTGTCACTGACGTCGTTCCGGTGACGTCAACCGCGACTAGGAAGGGCATGTCGGGTGGGCCTGAAACGTAACAAAAGATTCATGTTTTAAAATGCAGAAATATTCGTTATAAGTATAATCTTTCAGAAAGAATGAGAATTTAATTTTTCAAAAAAGTCTCAGACAGATAGGTGTTCCTATTCCAATCCAATTTCATTTCCAAGCAGTAACGCAATTTAGGAATTTAAATTAAATATATTAAACTCACGCGCTTGATCGAAACCCAGTAACATTTTCCTGAGAGCTCTGGCTCTCCTTTCCCACAGAGCAAGCTGCTTGTCCTCTGTGCTACCACCGCATCCCGTGAGATTGTTATGTTGCGTGGAAAAGCTGGCCCTATGGCTGCCAGGCGGCTCTAACAGAATAGTTCCACCGCTGCCGGAAGTACTGCCACCAAGTTCTTGAACTCTGTGTTCCGCTTCCGAGAGCAATGATGCCAAGTGACTACCCAGAGATTCCGGAGACTTGACTACGTTAACAAAATAGTATCGAGTCTAGTTACAAAATTACGGTCGTACGTGCTAAAACTAATTTGAATTACACTTAAAGCGAACCTCACGTCTGCATAGAAATGCAAGGAATAGAATTTGACAAACGACGATTGTTATCACCGGTATATTGTTTCACGCATTATTATTACGTTAATTAGAGTATTCGGCGTTTCCACGTAACGATATCGTTCATCTTGTATATCTTCTCGCAGAACTACGATTGCAATTTTCGTCGTGATTAATTGGAAGCCCAGTTACAGTTGTAATTATTTCTCAGATGGCGCGGAAGTTAATAAAGAAAGATGTTGAAACATCGCACACGATTTGACAAATTCTCGGATGACCGAGTTGAATGTCGAGTTAAATTTCTGTTCTTTATGGGACCTCCGTCACCCGTCTACGGAACAACTCGGACGCTAATTTGGAAGAAGCGTCCTTATCGCTTCATATTTCATTTTCAAAGAAAATGAGTACTCGAAGTGTACTATGAGTACTCCAGCGATGCCACTGCTAAAGCGCTAATGAGCGTAACGGGACAAATTAAGATGCGAGAAACTTTCGCAAAGACGAACGAAGCTCAAGTTACTCATTTAATAACGCGGGGATTTCCCTCGGTCTCGCTTGATGGCACATTAGAAGAAATTTATTTTCCTGAACTTTTCTCCCGGGGAGAGACGCGACGATGGCTGAGAAACGCTTCGCAGCGCGTACAATAATCCTTGGCACATTCGCAAAATTCGATTTTGATATCGCGGGCTCGAATCCAAGCGTTTCGAGTCCCGTTGCAGCGATCATCAAGAAAATTAATGGAAATGGCTCTAGTTTCATTCTATTCATCACAGCCTTTTTTTCTTCCGCGCGCGGAACGTTTGATGAAAAAGTGTCGCATTTACAGACCCGCAAATCATCCGGCTTAACGGGAACCGAGAGCGTCGAGAAATGTTTAGACATCGCCGTCGACTTTACAATTTCACGTTGCACACATACCCCTCCTCCCCTTGCCCTCCCCGCATTCGATCCCCGTAATTACGCCGAGACTGAATATATCGGACAAAGGGATACGTTATTAAAAACGTCGCGGAAAAAGCGCAGCTCGTGTCCAGTGTCCAGCGAGAGAGGACGACTTCCTTTTTTTTTTTTTTTTTTTTTTATTGCTCACCTCGCGTTTCTGCTTTTATATATTTATTCGTCGCAACGCAATAAAGCTCGACGGCATTTTTATTAGAGGCTACGGAATCCTAATTGGAATCTCTCGCGGAACTGTCGATTTCCTTGGATTTTTCGCGCGCGACAAAGAGAGATGGAGTGAGGGAGGAGGGAGGAGGGAGGAGGGGGCGAAAGGGAGAGACAAAGAGAGGACTGGAGATTATTTGCGGGAAAGCGGAGAAGCGAGTCTCGCGGAAAAGAGCTATACGGATCAACGGGATTCGTTACGGACGTCGCTGGTAACGAAGTTCGCGCTATGCGGCCCGAAGTTTGTAATTGGATTCGATTGTACTTACATTGGTTCCCTTCCTGCGCCCCGAAAGCAACTAGCATTTTTGCCAGCGGCCTGTTGTTACTCAGCACGGCAACGTCCAGCGGTGACAGGCCGTCGCTGTTAACGCTGTAAATAATGAGATTGCATATAGCGCGCGCGCGCGCGCGCGTCAATAATAAAGTTTTCTTTCAGATCCTTTCTAAAAAGGAGCAAAGTGAATTAGGACTTTCTCGCAACCGAGATTTTACCGAGTTTTTCCCCGCTAGCATTTTTCCTTTTCTTGTTTTTTTTTTCCTCAATGTTATACCTCAAAGCGCGACGTAACTTTACACGTCGTTTTCTAGGCGGCATTAAACACTATGTAACTCTATGTATCAACTCTATGTCTATATCACTTTCGTGGCGCTTTATCCGCGGAAAAATCTGGCATTATGTGAAAATAAAACCGAAAAAGCTTTTCGGTCATCGAGTCTCCTACTTCGGTCTCCGCTTTATATCGCAAGTTGAGACACGAGAGATTTCTGTCCGAAATAAAAAGGACTTCGTGAAACTTTTGGTAACGTTTATACGGCATTACGAGATCGATAAAGACTCGGTAAAGTAGACTCGGTAAGAGCGGTCTTCCTTCGTGAAATTATAGATCGAACAGTCGACTGTCATCCCACTTGTATTTTCTAGTCCGAGTGTATCTCGTTTTACGTCCCGTCACTTCATTATCTTCATTAGAACGGAAAAATTTTGTTTCGCCCAAACGGAAAATCGTGGGATTAATGAGATTCCCTCTGAAACATTTAATTACTTTCGCCTACTTCACCTCGGACTACTTTGATACATAAAAACGGAATGGGAACATCAAATAAACGTTAACGATATAAAATAGAATAAATGCTAGCTAAATGAATTTTCCAGTTTTACGTCACTATCGACTTCTCTCGTTCGCAACGAGAATTTGAATTCCGTTGTTACAGTTACAGTTATCGTGCGGAATGAGTAACTTTCCCGCTGCCTACAGATTATTTTAATTCTGTACGAATGTTCTTGTTTTTAACTGCTGCATATTTTAAATTAAAATATGCGGAAAGAGAAAGAGCAGCTGACGTTTCTTGAAATTATTTATATATTTCCCAATATAAACTAATGCTGCATATAATGCGTTATGCATTACCTCTCAAAAATCATTATACACGTTATGCACGGATTTTGTTAAAGGATTTTATTGTTAAAGGAAAATTTGACCAGATACGGAAAAATCTGAAAAATTATTTTGTTTGCCCAAAATAATTATGTAGATTAAAATAATTATATAGAAAGTTCAAATTAGTTGCTGAAATGTAAAAAAAAAATTTACAGTCATTTATTATCATCAATTATCATTATGTTTAAACGTACATTACATAATTTGATGAAACATTTTAAATAATTTTGATAATTCAACAAAATTAAGATCTGACCCAATTTTTCGAGCCTTCGGCGAAACTGTTCTTTTCTCGTAAAAATACAGTCATTAATGTAAATTAATTTTTCAATTAATATCATTGTAGAATCTTATTTCCAATATCCTGACCTGACTAACATAATTATTGGAGATATATCGTCGGAGTTCTTTCCTAATTACATCAAATTTCAACAATGTAATAAAAATTTCTACTTACTTTTCTCGATAATGTGAAAACAAAGATTAAAACCTTTGATCAAACGTAATTATATTTAATTTCAATATATCAGTAATTATTAGTTCATTATCAATATTGATTATCAATTATTATGTAATTCACGGAAATTTGAAGCAATTCCCAGAACTTTTGCGAGCCAGATCAATCAGGTCTGTTTGTCGGCTGTTGTTAGATTGGTCAGCCGAATTGACAGCGAAATCTTGTTTAACCTGAATAATTTATTTACCGACAACCGACGCTTTTGTCGTGGTTATTGATGAGAGACACCGAATTTATTTTCCGCAATTATCGCGCGCAGCCGGCTATGAAAAACTTGCAGAAGCATTGCGCGGAGCGAAATACGTCTCTCTCGTCGATTTAAAGAGGTGCCTCGTTCCACCGAAAATTCGTGACACAATTTAATTCACGAAGAACGCCGCGACATAATTTAACACGTCCTGGCTGAAAATCAAATTAGTCCAGCGTAAAGATTGCTTTCTGGACTGGAGAATTAATTATACGGGTTACAAAGAACAATTGAAGCGAAAGGAAATTTTTATTTTGTCCTTCTTCTGTGTTTCATGATAATTCCTCTCGCTTTGAATGTCCCTCGGATCGTTACAAAGGAGAAACTCGATTAAAGCTCGATCGCAGTTTGAGGGATTTTTCTTATACACGATAGTCTGCACCGGAGATGTATAGTGACCCAGATTTCTTGAGATCCTTCAAGATTTACGTCGAATCGAATCGAGATGTTGGCTCTACCCTGGTCGAACAATTCCTAATAGCGCGATTGACTGTTTCTGTAGCTGGCGCGCTCCGAAAGTTTCAGCTCGTATATTAGATTAAAGTCCCTCGAAGTAATATGTATTTCGGAGTACTTCTAGGTCGCGCGGCAACGTGTACTTTTTCGAAGAAAGTACGACAGGCTGAATTCTTTGAGTGCCACGAGATCTTTCGGAGATTAGCTTCCCCCCTCATGAATATGAAGAATAAATATAAAAGATAAACAAAACTTTCTGGAGATATCTGTACATCGCTGAAGATGATTTGAAAACAAACCGAAACCTTAGTATCACTTTAAATTCTTGTAATGTGAGAATTGAATCTGTTTTTCAGAACAAGAAAACATTTTGAATGCTCATTAATTATCGCGCCGTGCACTCTCAATTGAGGGGATAAGGACTGGGAATAAAGGCACAATTCTACTTAAGCCTTTTTTCCAGAGATTAGCATAAATAAAGGAATTGATGTTGCTTACACTAATTATATATAAACATATTTTGATTGTCCTATATTGATGAAAACGAAAATATGAAAAAAGAAAATAGAAAAAAATTTATTATGTAATAAGAAAATAGTAATTATTTTAATTTTTCTCAAAATCAAGATTTTATAATTAGACTCTTATTCCGTCCGTCCCTTCAATTGCTCTCCTTGAAAGTTAATTAATTTATAAGAAATAAATATTTTATTCTTACTCTCGTATTTGATATTGAAATTATGTAATGATATAATAAAATATTTAGCTGTCAGGCAAGATAATATCGTCAATTTATCAGCTTTTTCATCGCTAAATCAATCATCTTAATCGCTCCTTAATTGTGTACATATATGATTGCGTACATAATGATATAAATAGTCGCTTACCTATTTACGTCCACATCGGTAGACTCCAAAATAGTCCTCGCCTTATCCAAGTGACCATGTTCCACAGCCGCAAATAGGGCTAAAAATAAAATGATAACGACATCAAGGTTTTATTTTTTATTTTCTCTCTCTAATCATATGTAAATTTACTAAATTTTACAAGAACGAAAATATTAAAATGAGCAAATTTTGAGAAAAATTAAACTGAAAAAAGAAATCTATAAAAATAAAATACCATGCAGGTGTATGTTGAGGGATTGGGCCGAGAGAGGATTGATGTGTATCGACGATAGATTATTTAGTTGTTGGGGCTGCTGTTTCTTCTTACCCAAACCCTCCAGGAACTCCATCCCTTGCAACGAGTGGAATTCTACGCGCATGAGGAAATAAAAGAAAATAAATAAACAAAAAAATGTTACAAAAATGGATAAATCAAAGATAAATACACAACGTGAAAATGGTGAACATTAAAGGAACAGACAGGGGATTGATGTATATGTTGGGAAAGATAAATCTCTGTTGTGAACTTAAATTTAGTCGATAAAATTTGTAAGTAAATTCAGAACAAAGTATTGTGTTCGCTAAAGAAAAAAAACAATGATTAAAAAATTAAATACAAAGAAAAACAGAGAAAGAGAGATTCCTACATTATTTTTTTCTTAAATTATCTCGCTCATCATATTACAATCGACTCATACGTTTTACTCGAGCCACTTTCACGACGACTAGAAATTCTCCCACGTATCAGATATTTTACAATGTTAATGCCTCTCGGCACACCGTTTTATGTTTCGCGGTAAACATGCTTTCCTTTTATAACTTTCCAGGACGATTATTGATTTATTTAGCTTGAAAACAGGCCGGTAAAAGTTAAACGCGTTATTTTACCAGACAAAATCTAGATCATTTTTTTTCATCGTTGTAAGAGTTAAAACCGATAATTCGCCGCGGAAACTTGAACTTCCGAGAAATTTAACTTCCGAGAAAGAAAAGTGCTTAATCGCATCTGGCGCGCCGTTGATTAATTAAAAAATTTATTGATCTAGCGTACTTGATCCCGATGATGTCGACATGAAAACTCGCTCCTGACCGAGCTGCTCGTAATCCTTCGCGTCTCTTTTCCTACCGGTCACTATTTTATTCCGGAAACTATTACCACGTTTGCTCGTCCAAAAATTGGCGATATTGTCGACCGTCCTGATTCTGCAGGACTTCGAAGGACAGATCTTAGCATCATCGTGAATTTTCTGACTCTGATAGACCGTCGCATTTTTTTTCTCCGTCTCGTGTACCTTGCAATAAAACTTAATCCTCGGGCGATCAAATTCTCCGAAGGACTCGACCGTCCGTCGGTTTATCGCGCTCGCGGGCGAGCCCTCGCCCCTCGGTTCGCGAGGACATTTCGGAGGATCTGTCTCGCATCTAGGACGAAATGCATTTCGCGAGTCTTCGTTCTCGAGGTATTTTTCATTTTCACCTCGCGCATAATTCTTTTTGCGATAGAAAGGTCCGTTAGCCTTGTGGGAATCCACGACGACGGTCAGAATGTCGCACTTGGATGATGCAGCGCTCTTAGTTTTCTCATCTTGTTTCTGTCGTTGTTCCTCTTCCTCCTCTTCGACTTCAAAGAGGAAGCTCGAGACGGAGGAGTCCAAGGAGCTATCCAGCACGAATGTGGGGTTCTCATAGAACACATGTTTACTCGATCGACACATATCTGTCTCGTAAGACACAGATTTATCAGTACAGTCCTTCCCTCGAGTATCCTCCTGCGGGTTGTCCGCGCTGTGTCTTCTGCGAAAGATGTGAATAACCTTCGGTGATTTCATCATACCTTCGTCCTTCGTCGAGGGTTTTTCCACGTCCTTACGACCCTTACCCATTAGTCTGTCGGTCAGAGACAGCTTGCTCTTTAGATCTTTTGTGATCTCTCGCGGATCGGCGTCGAGAGTCGACACCGAGACCCTCCGAGGACTGGTGGATGCCTCGTCACCGATTTTCTCCTCGATAGGAGGACTCGTGTCCTCGGAGTCTTTTCGTGGAGTCGATGACTTCTCGCCCTGAGATTCTTCAAGGGCGGAGAGGTTACATCCCTTCTTAGCGATGAGATCTTTCGAGACGGACGAGAGATCGAAACCGGGGGTCAATCGCAAATTCGCGTGGTTGCGTATCTTCGATATCAGTTTCACAGACGCTCGGAAGGACCTCGACCTCTTCAAGGTCGACATCCTGCCGCCCGAGGAACGTCTCGATAATAATTCCATCTTCGGGCTGGATGAAGAGGATTTGCGAAATTTCATCTGGATATCGCTCGATAGTTTCCGCTTGATATATGTCCCAATGTCCTATCGAGATATCTAATCCCTTTGAGAGTTCCGATATGCCTGGGTGTTCCCAGTGCGATGAGATCGCTTTCCGTTTTATAAATTATCGAAAATATATGTATTATTGCTACGAGCGATAAAGCGCAATTACTCCGCTTCTCTTTGGTAGGATAAAGCTTCCGAAGATTCCGATCTCCGTAAATCCGTAAAGCAATTCTTTGGCTGGATAAAACTGAAAAAAAAAACCATCGGTACGGTCATTTGCGTGATCCCGCTGCCTCGATGGAACATAACGGCGCATCTTTTTTTTCTCGGATTGCACGACGGGGGAGGGGGGGAGGGGGAGTACAATATATTATAATACAGCTCCGAGGATTATTCGAAAGCTCCGAAAATATTGATTCTCCTGATGCGATTAGTCCGTGAATTAATTCACAACGTGTCGAGTTTTCGCTCTGACTGACAGAATGTCTCTCGCCACGGAGAAGAGCTCTCTCTCTCTCGTCTCTCTCCCGCGACGAAACTGCTAAATATTTACATGAAGCGTTGGAGAGAAGTGAAAGAGGAGCGGTTAGCGATGAAAGGGGATTAGCACGAGTGTCGGCGACGAGGCGACGACGACGTAGACTGCTACGTGACTGCTGTCTCTGAAACGATTTTATTGTTTACTTAGGGCCACGTACTCGCCCGGACGATTCTCCCGCGCGACAATTGGCCATTACGAAGAAGTGGACGGGACACGGCCTCTTCCTCCTCGGACAATTTACCGGGCCAATCAAATTTATTGCTGTCGTCCGTTAGTCGTTAAGATCTTGATGACAGCGAAGTGTAAGTACTTCAAGATCAATGACAAGATCGCCGGTGGCCTAACCGGCATCGGACGTACAATAAAGTACGATTGTTCTCATTGTTCCGTGACTCCTCACGGTTGATACGCGCATGAAAAGTTTAAGCGCGAGTTTTTCGACTCATTGCACCTTGAATAACCAGGTCTGAAGAGAATATCGATGGACCGATAGACTCTGATATCTATATCGGAGAAAAGGGAAATGCCTTGATATTTATATCGGAGACTCGAATAAAGGATCGATTCATAGTTCGAGAGCTACGTCCGTATCGAGTAAACGTAATAATTCGGACGTCTTTCAGACGAGACTTCACACGCTGCTGCTTTCCGTTATATCGAGCGCGGCTTTCTCCACGTTGAGGAATCATCGGCGTGTTATTCACAGAGTGATGATGAACTGAAATATCCTTTCGTGGGCTGTGCCAGCCTGTTTCTCGCGAAAGCGTGAAAACGTTCGAGCGTGCCCGGATCGATTGGAAGGGGCAAAAATTGGCTGCTCTTGCGATGCCGATTGAAGCTCATTAAAAGTTAAGGAGGGAATTGCTGGTCGATGCTAATAGGATAATTATAGTCTGGAACCGAATGAATTGTTAGATAGTTTCGATCTGAGGGCGCGTTCTCTTTGACTCTCTAATAACCAATGTACTCGAGATCGAGGAAACCCGTATGAGCGCGCAACTCGGAAAAAAACATCGGAAAAAGAGTGGAAAGAACAGCCCGAATGTTTCTTCTTTCAATGGCCGTCGCATTAATCACTCTGACAATGCCTCTTTTCTCTCGTTTTCTTCTGTCCCATTCGTCTTCGTCTGTTATACTTCCGTATAAGCCGCACGATTGTTATCGCGATGAATCGATCTCTTTACAGAAGACGTCAGAAAACTCGGGAGTCGTCTCTTAAAAGCGGAACGATTTGCAACTGACGACGAGTCCTAACTCATTTTCCTACTTCGTTACGGACAGTTGTTTACCCCTTCAGAGCGTTGTCCTCGTTATCGGCCTCTGCCCTGATAGACGACAATCTACTTCCCGTAATGAGGAGTCACGGTTGTTTGACGCCGCGTCCTTAAGTTGGAAGATGTACAGTTACCATTTTTGAGAGAGAAAATTTACACCGTAGAATTTCAAGTTTTATAAACATTTATAGACCGAGACAATGTTCCTCCATACTAGGAATATATAAGAACGGTTGTTTTCTTGTTTTATGATCTCTCAGCTAGATTTGCTTTAATTGTTTTTGAATTAGCATATATTAATTCAACAGGCTTTGTTTTTGCCATCAACTACGTATCGTTATTAATGGATTTGCAATGTAACTTGCCAAAATCAAAATTGTATATCCTCCCTAACATCTTGATAATTTAATAATAATTAATTTAATGATAATTAAGAAAACCTTACAGAAATACATCTAAATTTCAAATTTTAGTTTAAATAAAATTTTCCTTGATTTTATTCTATATTTGTGCAATATATTTTATATAATTCTTATTTTTTTTTGTTGAATTTTAACTTGAGTTTCTCTTCTTTTAAATTCAATTTTTTTAAATTCAATTAAATTCATTGCTTAGTGCGCTAATTATTATTTTATTCGTTCTTTACACACTTTTGCTTTATTTTGTAATAACTTGTAACATATTTGTTTTTTTCCTTATTTGGCCAAAGGAACTGCTTTAAACAATGAGAAATGGCTATTACTGCGCCATGTTTAAACCATATGGGAATAAAGATTCATTTCATGCACAGGAAGTTACAAGAATGAAGCTTTTAGAAATAAATATATTATACTGGAAACGCGTTTGTATTTTTTAAGAAACGTGGGAAAAGTCCGTGTAAATGTCACGTAGGGAAGCCGAGCAGACGCAGTGTCGTAACGTCTAACGTCTAACGTCGCCATTCCGGGTGAAAATCTTAAGCAACGACCACCGTCGTCGCGGAACCTCCGAGATTCCCGCGAACAACAGTATCGGCGAACGTGTCGTTTATGGTTATGCAATGATCTCATGCAACTTGCGAGGCCAATCTCGCAAGGACGTACGTGCGGTCCGTTCACCGGTTCGAATACCATCGCCGGTAAGCCGACCGGGATTAAAAGTCAGGACACCCCGCGTCGTGCTATCCGAGAAGAAAAGTTGCCGCGCGGCACGCAGACTACCTGACTATCACAGAGCAAATTCCATAGCGGCTGGACCGTTTCTAAACGCGATGCCGAGAGTCGCATCTCCGAGCGTGCAGGCGAGGACAGAGTCGTCCCTCGGGGCCGGTTAAGGTCCCCATGATCTTCGTCCAATCGTCATGGCGACACATCGCTTCCGCACGAATATCCATAATTTGGATATTATACATCGATTCAAGTCGACTCTTGAAATTTTTTTTATCACTATTAACTCTTGTCACCACAATCTTTTACACAATTTTTATGACGTTGTGACTTTTTTTGGTCACCGTGCAACCCCCCTTGCTATTAATCTACGATGCCACTCGGTATTTCTTCAATTGAAAAACCACGTTCTTCAATTAATCACGTGAAAATCACGTCGCATCGAAGAAGACGAGTCGCCTCTTCTTTCCAATCACACACGATCCAAAACTGGGGTTAAACCTCCGACACGTGACGTGACCTCGCACATAGTGTCGATCGATTTTTAAAGATTTACCGACGGATGGGTCCACGCTTCAGAAACGCTTCAGACGCGCGCGCGCGCGCGCACTTTTTCCAACCGTTGCTGCTGCATACACACACACACACACACACACACACACACACACACACACACACACACACACACACACACACACACACTACTGT